GTATAAATTTGCACCAAAATAATTAATTATAAGTTGATTAGAAAAATGATTAAACATGATTAAGAGAAGCAAACCATGTGGTATTACTTGTAATTGTGTATAAAATAATGGTGGGATTGTCTAGAATATAAGAGATTTGATATATTTTTTTTGTTTATTCAACCAATGGAGAAATGAATATTGGCATATTTGTCTCCAATGGATTTGTCCCAAGACAGCCACTAACATGCATGGACACCTTACCCTCTAACCACCCTCAGTTTTGTAGGGTACACATAGACCCCAATGAACTATACATTTGTTTTTGCATTTTTTTCATTTTTGGATTTTCTTTCTTTCTTTCTTTCTGTCCCTTTAGTGGCCCTTGACTTTGTCGACTTATTTTCAATAATTAACACGTAATTAATTAGTAGCTTGTAGATAGTGATATCTACACATAATTTTAGATTTCCTTCATAAGAGTGAGTTTGCTTTAATATTTTAGGTACCTTAGTTTTTTTATATTTAGGACGAAAAATCATTCGATAACATCGAAAGAAAATAAAACTAGTAAAGAAAAAGTTAAACTAGCCGACATGATTTAGAACTAAAGATAAGGTAAGAAAAGAAGTACTGAGTACAATATCGATATCATATTTCGCGTTATCAAACGTTCAGTTAGAGATTTAATCAATTACACGTAGTTGTCCTGTTGAATCAAGTCGGTCTAGATGGGTGCATGGATTTTGAAAATGCTTCAAGAATTTTGTTTGAATTTCACGTCGATCTGACGCGAATAATTAACATCTATAAGATTATAGTTAGATGTTTCACGAGTAGAAATAGGTGATAATTAATTATAGCATTATTGAAGAGTGTAGTCAGATTTTTTCTAACATCAATTTAAGAATTTGTCGTCAATTGTGGATCACGAAAACATGTTCCCGTAAGATTGGCCCATTGCCTTTAGCATTTATAACATACCCTCCTCCAATATCTATAGTGGCCACTATCCTCTACATTTCTATTCCATGGAGCTAAAAGAAGAAGAAGAAGAAACAATTAGGGATGGAAAGGAAGAAAAAACCACACTTTAGGTTCACTCTAATATAGAATATACTAAACAATATAACACGGTTTTAATGCTTGGGAGTGCTATCTAACCCTTTTCAAACACATATCCTAAAGTAAAACTTTAGTTAACCCTCTACACGAATTGCAATTATACGAGCGGTTTTAAATTTTAGAACGAAAATTACGAACACTCACAGCTTAGACACAACGATATAATTATCAAGAGCTAGTTAGAATTCTAAATTCCCTTTACTTTAGGATTGCACCATTGTTCTTATTGGTCTATCCAAATATCAAATGAATATAGTTAAAACCTCATCTTTATTGTTGTTATATAGGCTACTCAAGACAATTTGGAAAATAAATCTCAAACGTCCCATGTCAAGGTTTCAATGCGTTTGATTCAAATAGTAGATATGATGGAGACTATATGGTGTTGGGACCCACATGAAGCATATAGGGGGTGTTTGACAGTCATTTTTATGTGAAAATGTATTTAGAATAATAAATTGATGTGAAACGTGTGGTTGAAAAATAAAGAAAGAATTTTAATTTACGTGTAATATTATTTTAATAAAGAATGTGTGGTTGAAAAGAAGAGAGAAAAATACATTTTGAAAAAAATGACTACCAAACGGTCCATAATTTCCAAGCCATCTCTTAAATTCACAATAAATGTAAAGAAGTGGTGGGACAAGAATGTTTTTCTCTGAAAGAAAATTATAGGTTACCCGCAAGTATGATTGTCCTATTAGTTTACCCTGAAAATTTAATAGTATTCTTTCAGGTGGGGTTATCGGACTTCTATTATTGCTAGTATGATTCGCTCTACAAAGAGAACATATCTGAACATCTTTTGCTCTCCTTTATGAATCTTGTTTAGGGGACCCATCTAAACATTAAGAGTAATGCAATTCATCGTTGTGGTAGTTGAATCATTGGATAACATGGAAATCACCCAACTGCCACATAATAATGATTAATATTATCCAAACTTTTACCCTTGTTTGAGCCACATTATTTTCATAAAAATGCATTTTTGAACAGTATATTAATGAAAAATATGTGGTTAAAAATTAAGGAAAATTTTGAATTTTCGTGTAAAATGTGCACCTAAAATGATGCCAAATAACTGTTTAAGAATGTGTTTTTTGAAAAAAATATGGGTCAAACAAGGGATAAATATCAACTACAAGAATCTTATTCTACTATTCTATTTTGTTCATTACTAAGGGTCGTTTAATATGACTTTTGCCTTTACTTTGTATTCTGTAGAAGAACTTCTGAAGGAAACTATCTTAATTTTTATTTGAAAACTAATTTGTAAAAATACTTCCTATTCCAAAAGTGCTTTTAAATAAAACATCTTCTAACTAAAAAGAAACACTTTCATAAAATTAGCCAAATAGATCCAAAGGTTGTTTTTGAATCTCAACAAAAAACAACAATAATAATTATTGTTCCCAATAAATCTGGGGTCAGCTATAAGAATGTTTCCAGCTACTTTGTTCTATTCATTGCTAAATGCAATGGCAGATCCAAAAATGGAAATCCCACCATAACGGCATGAAATCAACTTCCAGCCTTTCACAATGCCAATTAGTTCATATTCTAGAGGCGAAAACGACGCAATTCTTTGTAGTGTGGTATGAATGTGGTACAACAAATGAAAATAATTATTGACGAACATATGAGCAACACAACGCCAAAAAATGGGAAACTGGGGATTCTACATTAATTTCAAACAGATGGCAGCGATTTGTTTTTATTTAGTCTCATATTTCGAGAGGTAAGATTGCGCCAACGAGAAACACTTGCCTTTCTGCTTCTTGTATTCATTGAATCGCAGGAAGAAGTAGCCAAAATAATCAAAATTAATTGGAGACATTTTTGCCTGTCATCAATCAAACTAAAGTTTCAAGGACATGCTTACAGTTTGAACCTTGGTGATGATAGAGAAAAGAATCATTACCTGGATTAAAGCCCATAATGCCCAGTATAAGTGTGAAGCCAACATATATGCATTTGTTTCCACGTACAAAGCTTCAAGATCTTCGTCAGGTACCTGTTAAGAAAACTAGTTTTAGCATAATGCCTTGTCAAAATATTTGATAGGCAAAGCCACTTTTCTCTCCACGAAAGAGAATAAAAAGTTTGGTTACTATTAGTGGCAAGCATGAGAGTAAAGCAGTAAGTTCAGCCCCATAACATGCACCAAGCTTTTATATTAGCCATACGAACCCAAAGATCTACTGCGGATTATGAGGGAAGAGAAAAGCATATCCTTGTATTTTGCTTTTGATCGATACAGATAAGACAAACACCAAATCCCACAATAGGTAAAGATGGTTCTGCTCAACAAATTTTAATTATGACAATTAACTAAAGAATAAGCCTATGGTAACGATGAAATCACAAGCATAATATCAATTTTTCAAGTTGAGATCTGTTCTCCATTTTTACCGTCCAATTTGTTGTCCACCCAATTGCAAATTGACACATTTTAGAAAATTAAAGTTGTCACCAATTTTGATTTCCATAATGTGTCAATTTGTAATTTGATAGACAACAAATTGGACAACACAAATGGACAGTAGATCTTAACTCAAACTTTTCAAGCTAGANATGTGTCAATTTGTAATTTGATAGACAACAAATTGGACAACACAAATGGACAGTAGATCTTAACTCAAACTTTTCAAGCTAGAAATCAACATGAGATGAAATATCCAGAGGGGAAAATGAAGAAAGGATGAAAGCAGGAGGATTGAAAGACAAATAAAATCTGCTTACGTAGAACTTCAAAAGTCAGCAAAAACTAATGTAATCTAACTTCAGTAAAACCTACTTGACTTGAAGTGGCGTTGAGCACTTAACCTAGAAGAAACATCAAGAAGGAATATGTGATGTGGTACAATAAGTAGCCATTATGAATTTGATGGATTAACTGAATTTTTGTTGCACACAAGGTTTTTGTCTAGTTGACTAGATGTGTCCGTTAAGAAACTAAGTGCTTGTTTGCTAGAGTTTAAAAAGTTGAGGTCAAAGTCACCAACTAATTATAACCTCATATTTCATGAGACCCACAACTTTTATCAAATTTTCAATCACATTTCATCGACTTTTTATCAAAATCCGCTAAAAATTTTATCAAAAGCTTTGTCAAACAATCCCTAAGTAGATAGGAATCAAGCTTGCACAGATTAGGACCAAATAGAAATAAAGGCATTAAAAAAACAACAGTTTAAAATAGCCAGCAAGAAAATTTACTACTCCCACTTACCTCATGCGGTTGATCATGATTTAAATAGTTCCTGAAGAAGTGGTACTGTTCATCCTTATTTGGGTACCTGCAACAGCATAAGGCCCAAAAATGGATTCATAATCTCTATATATTGTTACTGCGAAAGGAAAAAGAACAAAAATAAAACATGACGAAGAAAGACAACATACAAGCTATAGTCACAATCATAGCCAGCATATTCGTTGAAGTGATTCCCAATGTCAAAACCTCTGTAACTGTAAGACCCATACTCAAAGTCGATGAAGTAAAGTTTCTCTGCATATTTAGCAAGACAAATAAGATTTCATTATAAGTCATATCAACTGATAGGAAGAAACTTTTGATAATATTTGTCATGCCCTATGTACATCAACTCGAGCCTGGGTATCAGACATTGATAAGTATCAAAATGTTTAACCCATCCAAAACCTTACCTGTCCACTGTTTTATGACCAACATCAAGGATCCATATCCCATACCCCTGTCAGAGAGTCTCCAACTGGGGTGTACTTGTTATAGTACAAGGGTCCGTGTAATACAATTTAAATCCCTGGATAAGCATAATATCAGGATCCTCCCCTACTTTGTCCACAGAAACTGTATTTAGTTTCATTTAAGGATACCTTTCCTCCGGATCAGTTCATTTAAAAAGTTCAAGCAATATGCTTTACTATTGCCACACCCATCCCTTGCATATCCGAGTTACCGGAAACGTCGAACTAAGGTGAACGGTCGTTCCAATACTGGACTAGAACTCTAATGTACAAGGACCAAAATTTAAATGTGCACGCAAGTGCAAGCAAACTTGTTTCCAACAAAAATAACCAGAGAGAGACAGATAACTGGATTATAAATGCAAATTTAATGTAAACTTATGGAAAAGTTACCTTCATCATCATTAAGCATTAAGTTCCCAGCAAGTAAATCGTTGTGAGAAAATACAACAGGGGCATTAATGGGGTCTGTCAATTCCTGTGCCACATTAAAAAGGATTCTTAACAAATAGAATTAAAGAAAAAAAAAAAAAAAGTAACATTTATACGAGGAGGAATATATGAAATTCCTAGATTCTTCAACGCATTTTATTCTAGTCATTGAATTGAAAAAGCTGAAAAGCTGCAGAGGTATAATCCAAATAAAACTTCACTGAAAATTTTTGACAGAGATAATTTAAGAAAGGAAAGAAAAATTAAAAATGGGATTAATTAAAAATAATGATGAAAACATATTCCATAAATTGTCTGGCATAAGCCATCATTCAGAAATAAAATATAAGGAATATCTGATACAACATTGTGATGTTAGCATCAAATATAAAAAATTCCCAAATAAGTTAAGAAAGATAAACTGTTGGGTTATAACAGCCTCAGCTCGAAACAACAGACATTGCAAATGAAAAATGAGAAAAGACAACCTTGAGCTCAGTGACCTCGTGATGAATTTCAGTAAAGGAAATTGTCTCGTATTTTTCCTGCTTCTCGCTATCATCAAACTTGAGGCTTGATGCTGCACTCAAACAATTAATGGTGCAAATGTGAGAAAAGTGTAGTGAAATGACTCGTGGACAGGTGGCAATTAATCTGACCTAGATTTTGACATAGTATGGATAGGTTATACAGCAAAGAAAACTATAATGCAAATCTTAACAATCAATATTTCACAGGAGAGATCAGTCATTATTTAAAGAAAACCTTTTTCAAAGAACTTGAAGATGTCATTCCATAGTTGAGGTTCTTTAGAACCTGGAATTTCCACCTGGTGGAATTTGCAAAGTTGTTTTGCAATTACAGCTGCAAGCTTTGGTTTTCTCATGTCTGTCAAAAAATTGAAACAAAATCAAGACTCTATTAGTAATTCTCATCACAAAGAGAATACTTCAGTTATCAAACTGCACACAGATCAAATGTACTGCAGCAGAAGGCACTTAAGAATCATGAAAGTAGTATTTCGACAAAACAAAGGTGTGTCAGAACTCAGAAATAAAGCTGGGGACCTAGGACGACCAACACCCTCCCACCACTCGGCAAGTTGGTGTCAAACACCGACGCTTGTCGTAAATGCAGTTGGTGCATTCAAATGGTTTTATGGTTTTGTACAATTGGACACGTAGCCGATATGTTGGGAGATACAATTGTCTACGCGCTAGAATTAACAAAAAAAAAAAA